CGCCGTTGTTGTTGTGATTGCTGTCATGTTTCTTTGTGTCTCGTCAGCGGCAGCCTCAACCTTTTCACTGCCGTCGCTCCTGCATACAAACACGCATGAATAATGGAGGCTGTGAGGAAATTGCAGCAGGCTGACAACCGCACTGATTCCTCGCCGCAATTTGCAAATAATTCGGAGGGTTGCCGAGGTATGGCAACACTCTCATATGAAACCCAGGAGGAGGAAGAGGGTGGAAAAACAGACTCATGTTAAAGAAATGAGAGCAGATCACAACTCGGATCCATAATGATCTAAAGCCTTATTTCCTTTATCCTCTCGGCTCTGATTGAAACAGAGATGTAGATGCCAGTCAGACAAGGCGCTGGTGTGTGTGTGTGTGTGTCTCCTCACACTCCAGCTTTCCAGTATTTGTGTGCATGTTAATAGGAACGTCGCTCTTTGATAATTTACACCATCCTGCTTTTGAAAACGTGTCGTTCGTTAACTCCCGTCGTAATGCATACCAATCGGATCTGCGGCGCTTGTTCTTCGTCTGTCCTGCCTTCATGCTGGATGTTTAATTAAGTAGAAGCCGGATCGCTTTATTTGAGAGGAAAGTGATTCCATTATGTTTGCTTAATAGGAGTGTACTAATTTAATATTTTTCCAGCACTAGTAATTTCCATACATATTGGGATGGTGTTCTTTAACAAGCAGGATGATTCCTGCTGCAGAACAACAGAGAGAAGCTCAAACAGTTTTCTGGCTGCTCGCTCCAGAATCAGGTGTTGGATGTGGATTTGAAAACAGCAACAAGGTCAATGAGCTGCTGGATGATGATGCTCAGCACGGCTGACACGTCAGGACCAGGAACTAATGGAACACTAGAGTATGTTTCTGAAATGGCAAATTTAATTTTCAGCTGGAGTGGGTTTTTTTTTTTTTTTTTCTGAATGATTTGGGATGTGCTGCTGCTCCAGAATTAATTCTATTCTGATGTCGTTTTGAGCATTAAACATAAAGTTCACTGGTGATGTTTTCATGTATCTAATCATGAGTACAGATGCATACTATCAGATGTAGCATCTCATTGGCCAACTTGATCAGGGCTTACTAAGCTATTCATTCTGTTTAAAACAAACATTTTTCTGTTTAAATCATGAAAGTTAATGTCAACACAAAGTCGTGTATAATTCAGAGGTGGACTGAAAACGAAATGGGTTTCAACATTTTGTAAAGAAAAAATTCAAATTTTTGCTCCAGATCACTCATAAGAGATTAGATACACATTCTCATATTGATTTATGTCTGGACTTTGACTAGGCCACTCTGTTTGATTAGCAGCGGCTGCATGTTTATGGTCGTCATGCTGAAAGGTCAATTTAAACTGGAGCAGCACAAGCAAATGTGGTGGATGTGAGCAGAGCCTTCCAACAACTGGTGGACAGCTCAGTTGCGGAGCGTTGTCTCTGCTGCCAGAGCTGCTAGCATGCTACCCTGTTAAACTGCTAGCATGTTACCCTATTAAGATTTTAGCATGTTACCCTATTGAGTTGTTAGCTGTTAGCATGTCATGACAGTCATGAGACAGTCTTTAGTCAGAGTCTTCTTGAGAGTTGTTGAAAGGCTGACTGCTACTGGAGATCCTTCCTGTCCACATCATCACTAAATATCAAATATTTGATGTGAGTTCTGACAACATTTAAGTTTCCTTTGGGATAAATAAAGCTTTTCTTTTAATTGAATGAGTTATGAGACAAAATGCCCACCATATATCGTTTTCTTTACGCTGCAACACGACTGTGTCGGTGTGTCACAAGAATATTGATAAAATAAAGTAACTCTGTTATAAAAGGCTTTGAAAAAAATGAATTCATACATTTACAAGGAGCTACAGGACTCTTCACCTTCATAGCATATCTTCGGTGTTTTCCCTGTGATGTGATCATGCAGTTTTGTGCCAAATATGAAAATGTAAAAAGGAACATGTGTAAGATATTGGTTTTTGTCTCTTGGACACATTTAGTACAAACACATCCACCTGCGGGAAACTTTAAGGAAACATAATTCAGGACGTCCTCAGAATGTATGGACTGTAATGACAACATGGCGTCTGTTTCTGTGAAGGAGGAATGTTCAGTCCTGGATCCACTCAGCTCATATGAAGCCAGTACTGCAGAAGTGGGTCAGTTTCTGCCAGTTCTAGTGCCAAACCCATTGTTACAGGAGGAATCTGTTATTTTCTACGTCATATTAAACACATCTATGTTCCGAAAAACTTTGCTCAATAAAAGTACTCTCCGTCCCCGCCGTGTTGTTTCCTTGTCCGTCATGGTGTTAGACCCTCCAGTCAGAAATCTGTTTCTCATCTTTTCCCTCATGTTGCATGTTGGAGCCTCACAGTGGGGAGTCTGGTATCGCCCATCGCTTCCGTCACGTCCAGACGCTCAGTCGGGACCCAGAGCGCCACTTCTTAACCCGCAACATGTGATGGGACCCCGGGAGGCGGGGGCCACGTGGTCCCCTCCCACTGTTCACATGGAAACCCAGAAAAACTGGGTATTAATCTTTATTATGATCAGCAAAACAAAGTGATGAAACCAAACTCTGGAAGCAGATTTTACTCTGTGTTCTACGGTGCTGGTCAGAAGCTTCCCTACATTCATAGGCATGAATGTCTGATTTTGGGTTTTTGGGAAAATTTGAACAGTTCTTTTCTCAGAGTGGAATTAATAACATTGATCTTCTGTAAGTTTTAAAGACTAAATTTTGCAGCAGAAGTTTGAATTTAATGGAGACGATTTTCTCTTCAGCAAAGATTCAAATATAAGAGTCAGAAAAATCACACTTTTTCAACAATCATAGTCCAAATATTTTCAGGAGGGTTGATATCAAGACCATTCCACAAGAGCCGTGTCGGCCTCCGTTTTTTGCTCCAGAACCAGTTTTTTGGGGCCTGTGATGTGAAAAGCAATGTTTTTTTTATTTATTTGAATATTTTAGGTTGACTTAAAACATGAGAAAGCTTTGACCTACTAACACCAGAGATGAGAAGAGTGGTCAAACATCCAGTCAGAGTCCAGCCAGAAGCGTGCTGACGGCAACGAAAGGCTTGTGATCGAGGCACAACTTCCCCTGGAGCAATATTCTAAATATTAATGGAGGCTTGTGTACATTTTTGAGGCTATATCTATAACTCTGACATCATGTGGACTCAAGAAAATTCACCATGATTTCTAACTTGTGCATCTAGTTCTAGTTTTTAAAATCTTTCCACACTGAAAAGAAGAAAAGGCCCTCCAATAGGATGATGAGCGTAAGCAAACACACTCTGGTTGTGTGTGTGTGTTATGTATGTGTGTGTGAGGTGGGGTTAGAAAGGGTGGAGGGGGGGGGCAGCAAGTATCCAGCTGCTTTGTTCACACTCAGTCTCTGGTGCAAATAAATGGATTTATTGAGAAAAAGAGATGAAAGCAAATACAAAACACTTATATAACTGTTAAAAGCTCATCACCATCATATCAATAGAAAATATGTTCACTTTTATTTTTTAAGTTTTTGTTTTTTTAACCCTGCACATTGCAAGCTTATGCTGCTTTTCTTGACAAAAAGCCATAATTCTCTCTCTGTTATTTACAAATGAGGTAAAAACATTACGTTTGCTCACAACAGGGCTGCACCCGGAACACAACACCAAGGAAACGGTTTGTGGTTCAGAGGATCGTCAGGGAGACATGAAGAGTAAGGCGACTCAGTCCTTCCTGTCTCAGGCTCAGTCCGCTGAAGAAAAAATGATTCACAGAAATCCCAAAGTCCCTACAGTCTGACAGGAAATCAAATGCAAGATAATAATAAGAAGAATAAAAAAAAAAATAGAATAAAAACCCAACACATGACTCATCAGAACATTTCTGGAAAGCTGTTATCTGGGATTTGACCGCTGTGTGAAAGTTCACGCAGTGCTTTGGTTTGTCCAGCTCGACCGCGACCCGTCAGCTGCTGTTAGCTCCCGTTAGCTTAGCCGACCTGACCCGATCTCATTAGGGTGACCTCTTTACCGCCGTGGCTCTGATGCGATGAAGACCGGAGAAGGAAAGAAAACTCTGCCGCGGCTGAGCTGCAGGTGGAGCGGACCAGGATCCGACAACACTTCGCTTGTTACTGGAAAACTCTGTTGCTGTCACACATTTGACCACTTAGCGGTGGTCATTTTGTAGGAACCTATAAAACCGTGAGGTTAAGATGTATTTTTTCATTTTTGTGCAGCAGGAAAAAAATAAAAATTAAACACAGAAAAATGTGCGTTTTAAAAATGTCATTTTTAATATGATGACTTTTCACCAGCAACCTAACAGGATGCAGTCAGAAATGTAACATCTTTGTTACAAGTTTGCTAAATTAGTCATAATTGGGCAGATTGAACCAAAGTGCTTCTAGAATGGCTCAGTATGTGTTGAATATGCATCAAAAGGTATCGGTGGTGTATATACCAAATATTTTTGGTCTAGAAGGGGTTTAAGTTCTTTAATTTCACATTTCATTCCTAGAACTAGTCGCTGTAATCAATCCATCCATGTCCTCCTCTTATCTGAGATCTCAGATCTGAGATCTTGTCTGAGATCTGAGATCTGGGGTTGAGGTCCAGAGTCCTGCAACTTCAAGATGTGTCCCTGTGTTGACCAGTTGGAAACACAAGCTTATTTTGTTTTACACTTAGCATGAGATTGAACTGTGTCATTAAATTTACCCTTTCTATATCAGCAAGTCGTCATTTTGAACCTTCAATGGTCTCTAATAACTTTGGCTAAAACCTGTAAAGAACAAACTGTTTTCAAATATAGATATAAAAACAACTGAAGATTGTATTAGTTTTACACATTTTAATGGAATATTTGCACTGTATTTTCACAACAGAATGAAAAGGAGTATTTTTTTTTCTTGTCAAAACTAGGCTGATTTTTTTAACCTAATTTTCCTGAAATATCAATGCTCTATAGATCCGCTCCATGAAAATGTTTTGTTTTTAACACCTAAAAACAGAAATAAATTATATATTCTTTTAACATGTCAACAACAATCTTATATTAGCTATTTAACAAAAATTCCAATATATATATAAATATATTTTGTAAATCATGTGACATTTACGGCTCTTTGGGTTATAAAGGTTGAAGAGGCCTGGTGCTGCTTTATATAATGTTTGTTTTGAAATTCTGCTGGATTCAAACTTTCACTTTCAGTTTAAGTGCCATCTATTGATCTGGTAAGTGATTCTGAATTTACTATTTTAAAAAATTCTGATTTTTATTTTGAGCTACATTTAAAACTTTCCATAGAGTTAATGTATTTTATTCAGTGTTAAATTAACACATTGATACTGTCAACATGTGAGACACTAGTGTTAGGTAAATTCAACACTGAGGTGATGTGTGTTACACTTAAACTATTGGTAGTGTTGTTTCAACTCCATCATGGCGTGTAACTCTTTTAAAAAGTTATTTTAACTCCATTTGGAGTGGATCAGTGCAGTTTGACTCTTTAGGATTTGATTAAAGCTGCAGTATGTAACTTTTATTCAAATATTTTATTAAATATTTGTTGAAACTGTGATGGTATGGTATGAGATACTCTGTCTTTTCCCAGTGCTATCTAGAAACAACCAATCAGAGCCTGGAGGAGGGACTTAACGCCGTCAATCATGCCCATCCACTCACCCCTCTCACCCCTCTTTGCTTCACTACTGCTTCTCTCAGTCAACAGAGCCTGATGTGAATGCTAATGCTAGTTAGCCACTGATGACAGTTTTCCTGTGATAAGTTGTGTATCTGCCATTAGCATATTAACGCGCTCACAGAAACTGATTGACAGCCGTAAGCCCCTCCTCCTGGCTCTGACTGGTAGTGCAGCAGACGGCTGTAGCAGCTCAGGGAGGAGGTGGAGGACATGGACCTTTTCACAGCTTGTCTGTCTCATACTAAACTATCACCACTTGGTGACAGTTTCAACAAATATGTATAAAACATGTTTTATAAAACTTACATAACATTTCCAAATTTATTGTGTGCACGGTTTGGATGCATTGATATGAATTTGCTTTATTGTGCATTTCTTTATAATTGCGATATAAAGTTGATGACTTTTTGCTACAATTACTGCAAGGATGAACAATGTCTCTTCAAGCCAACCAGAGTGACCAGCCGACCCAGTAGGCCTGCCACCTGCTGGCCACAGCAGAGGTCAGGCTGTTTGAAGTGTCACTGACTGTTGCTTCCTGCCTACATTTCCATCCACACCTCCTTCCTGTCATCACAGAGCCGAGCGCTCTCAGCCTCTCTGATCCAGCCCTCCACCATGTAATCATCTCTCTTATCAAAGGTGAGAGGAGCTGGGCCTTCCCACTCCCTGCACGCTGCTTCCTTTCTGACGTTTATTTCTCCTCTTTGTTCTTTTCCAGATAAATGCTTCTCACTGGGTCAAAAGCATCACGAGGAGGATTGTGTAGTTTAAGAAAAGGGGTGGGGGGAGGGGGGATGGGAAACTCAAATCCGTCATCCCCTGGTGACGTGGGAAAGACGGTGCAGATATTTCTGTATGATTTCAATGCACAGGTGCTCCTGCTATGGCGTCTGTATGAATAATCCGTTTAAATCTCCTCCGACCCGCTCCTTCATTTATTTGAATTTCTTGAGCTGTCACCTTGGGAAGCTGCTCTGCGTAGTTTGTATTCCGCTGAGCGACCGCCTGTTTAAACAGTCTGTAGCAGCTGCCACATTTGGTATGCCTGTGGAGGCGCGCGGGCCGAGCGTCCGCCCCCCCTCACTCCCCCCGCCGGCCCGTGGGCCACTCGTCCACTCGCGCCTCTTTGTTAGAGATCTGTTTGAATTTTCGTGCGGCCCCCGCCGGCCCCCCTTGGGTGAGCTACAGTGAGCGGCGGCGGTGGCGGAGCGGATGAGAATAGGAAATGAAATGAAGACGCGGGCGCGGTGCTAAGTAGAGACGGCTTGATGTCTTACAACCTGCAGAGTGCTGGAGCTCGAAACACTTCACCAATACTCAAGTACTCAACTGAGCTAAAAGAGCAAAAAAAAAAAAAAGTCCAACCTTTGGCACCCGGGGGCATATTACCTGCAGGAACCTTTTCCAGGAACCTTTTCCAGGAACCATTTCCAGGAACCTTTTCTTAGGGGCCACTCCATGGCGACCAGCAGGTCCAACCTGATAGGCAGGAAGTTCACCCAGAAGGTTCTGGTAGGAACCGAGTACTTTTATCTGTCTCTCTATTGGAGAGAGTTGGTTTTATCAAGCCGACAGTTTTTTCAGTGTAAATTCATCAACAGCTTCAATTTTCTGTCATCCTGAGCTGCATATTTCAATATATTAAACAATTCCTGTAATTTTTTACAGGAATTCTACATGTTTCTTCCTCTGCTCCAGTTACTCAGGAAGAGGTGTATGTGTTTACCCGTGTGTGTGTGTGTTTGTGTGTGAAAATTAGTGTGTTTTACTACACTCATGATAATTAATACATGCCATCTCTTAATAAATCAATTCAAATTCAAAATTTGTCATTAAATTTAAGAGAGGAGATGCTGTTGGTGTTGGTGAATGCTACTTTAAGAAACATCTTTTATGATTTATTTATTAAAAATCCAACTACCGTCACTTATGTGACTTTGAAGTTATTTTAATTCTGGGCAACTCTCTCCTCTGTAGATATGTAAGTTATAAAGATTGAAAACAGAAAGTCTGACTGTGGCTTTAGAAACTCTCTCTTGCTCTCTGTGACTGAGGTCAACACTCAGGTTGAGTTTCAGCTGCCATGAGCAAACAGGCCAGTAAAGGCTGGAAGGTTCCAGGAAAAGTATTTCCAGAGGAAAATCTGCCCTGGTCTCATCGTCGAAACACATCTTCACTTTTTCCCCTCATAAAAACTTGAAACGAAACTTCAGAAACTGTACGGAGCCAAGTGGCAGAACATAATACAGTATATATTAAAAAACAACTAAAAAAAAAAAAAAAAAAAAAAAGGCCCTATCCCTGTATGAGAAACGGATGATGTTATAGTGCAGTGTGCAACGCATGTCCCTTATTTACACGGCTCTCATTCAGCAGCAACAAGATACAAAATACATTTTCACTGGTGCTGATTTGAAATAAAAACGGCCTCAGAAGAACTCGACTCTGCAGAGAGACGTCGGTGTGTTCAGGAGGCTCTGAAGCCTTAATCTCACCTGGAGATGATGTCTGTTCTCAGAAAGCAGTCGTCCCGCAGCAGGGCCACAACAACCCGGACTGAGACAGACCGGAGTGAGAGTGTCAGTCACTCACACTCCGCTCCCTCACCGCTAACCGTTTGAAAGGTTTATAAGGCGTTCTGTTATTAGCGTCCCGTCGCTCAGAGGTCGCTGGCCTCGGCTCGCTCGTACAGAGCTCTCAGTTTCTCAAAGCGAGGGCCCCACTCCCCCAGCGTCTCCTCCCGCCGCGCCTCCCCAGCACCCTCCCCTGTGCTCCCCCCATCCAGCCCCGCCGAACTGAAGGAGCTGAGGGAGCCGGCGGGCGACCCCCCGCCCTCGGTGGAGAACACCTGCAGGGAGTCGAAGGGCCCCGTGTCCGGGTGCTGGTCGGCGTCACGGATGATCTCACACAGGTAGCGGGCCAGGTCCTGGCTGGAGAAGGAGAGGGAGCGCCGTGCCAGCTGGGAGGGGCGTGCCTGGCCCTGGGCGGGGGGCCGCGCAGGGGGCACGTCCCTGCGGAGGCTGGCGGTGGTGGTGGCCGTGGAGGACGTGGAGGCGGCCGAGGGAGGCAGGGTGGTGGAGCTGGACGTCCGGCTGAGGGGGTCCAGCGGAGGGGCGGAGGCCGGGACGGGCGGAGCCTGGTGGAGCAGGTGGTGCAGGTGGTGGGCAGGCGGCGGGTGGTGCAGCGCTCTGGAGCGGCAGTACTGGACCGACTGGGCGGGGCTTGGCTGAAGGGACTTCTGCAGCTCCGCCATGTCGTAGGCGTTCTGGAGACACACAATGTGACGAGACGCCGTTAGCGCAGCATGGAGCGGGAGAACGCAGCAAGAAAAGAATAATTGAATAAATGACATTTTGAAAATAAATTTGCTTAACAGAAAAAATATACAAAAGGGTTTGACAGTGTGGTGAGCTGTTTTTTCTTGTTTTTGTTTTTTCTGATTAAATGTGTTTTTGACGTTTCCAAAACATTGACAAAGTTTCTGTGTGTGTGTGTGTGTGTGTGTGTGTGTGTGTGTGTGTGTGTAGCATTTAAGGGTGACGTTCTATCATGAAATGGCATGTTTTAGAGCCTGTGTACTCCAGTTAATAATTAATTGGTTACTAAATTAGTTGATTATTACTTCAATCATCAATTAATCTGATTAATAATTTCAGCCATAGTGCAAACTCATACCTGTAAAGGGGAATAATTGAATAAATGAGCAGCAGACATGTTTCTTCCTCTGCTCCAGTTACTCAGGAAGAAGTTCTATCTTTCTTTACTGTAGCTCACTAGCGCTAGACTCCCCGCTGGTTACATTGGGTTACTACACCTACTAAATCAAATTACATATTAACATGTATTTAACTCAATCTACTGGCAACCACATTATAAATGGAAACAATAACATCCAAGTCTGTAATGCATATAACATGCAGATGAGGCCACAAAAGATTAAATGTGCCTCTGACTTATAATGAACACATTTAAATCCATCACTTGCAGGGGAGAGGAGGCAGGAAAAAATCAAATGTGACAGAGAAATGAAAGGAGAGCTGGGCTCATTATGTTTACTGAGAACGTTCCGCCGGTTAAGTTTCCGTCTCCATTTATTCTCTGTGAAAGGTTTAAGATTTCCTACGAGCGCTCTGACCCTGAGGATAAAAATATGAGCCGAGGCGATTCAGAGAGGAGATGGGACTGAGACTGAGCTGCTGCTACTATGACATCCAGTAACCTGCAAGTCACTTCACAAATAATATGAGTCCATGAGAAGTGTAAAAAAAAAAAAAAAACAAGAAAAAGAAAGAAAAAAAAGGCAGAGATGGAAAAAAAAAACCTGTGGGAGGAGGAGGATGAAAAGATGCTCATGCATGGAGGAGGAGTGGGAGGCTTTGTAAAGCTGATTATGTGAAAAGTGGCAAGTGGCCTTTTTTTATTTAGGTTTTTTTCTCTCCTGAGATTAAAAACAGAGACCAGAGAGACGTGAACAGAAAGTGGACCTCACATCTGGACAAAGGCTTGTGAACATTTTTGCAGAGATTGTAAATAAAAATTGCATTAAACATAAATGAGTCTAAAATTATTTGAAAAAAATAAGCACCACCCACCATTCTGCATCAGTGAATATAAAAATAAAGAAAAGTGCCTGCCTTAACGCAAAATTATATTAAATCCGCAGCATTAATCATTGTGATTTTACTCCAAAATGTTCTAAATTACAATTAAAGGGATAGTTCAGTTTCCTTTCTCTGGGGTTCTGTTAGGAAGTTATTAGCAGTCAATAGGTCTGTATTTTATGCAAAGCTTAATGTTTTCCAGCAAGTTTGACAAATACACTTGTCACACGTTATATTTACATTTAATGAAAGAATGAGTTCAACTCACTTTGTAAGTCCTTATTTTCTGTGAATTAAAAAATCTTTTTGACAACATTTGTATTTTAGCTCAACTATATTTTCCAACATCCCCCAATAATTTTAAGAATCTTTTCCTCTTTTTCAAATTTTTTTAAAACTTTATGTGTGAACACATAATATATACTTCATTGTACCTTTTTGTTGTTAATTGTGATACATTTATATGGATAATAAAAGACTTGTGACATTAACAGCGTAGGATAACACATAGGAAATGTGTTATGCACAGAAAAATTATTCAGTCAAATTGTCTTCCTTCACATTTAACATTGAAACACACACACTTTGACCACCAGCCTGACACTGATTTTTTATTTTTTTTTATTTTAAATATCTAAAAACTCTCCCACAGCTCTCACACACCCTCTGAACCTCTCATATGGACCAGCACTAGGCAATCAACACATTTAAACTCATGTTTGGCAGGAGTCTACATGACACATTTCACTTAACTTCACACATAACTAATTTAGTTTTTTTTTCTCTTCCTGTAAATTGCTATGAGATGACATATGCTGAACTGACGCTATATAAATGAACTGAATTGAATTCCATTACAGAGATGCTTTTCTCACCGTAGATGTTCGATGGTTGAAACCGATAATGAAACAGCAGCTAGCTTTCTGATCAAATGGCTAATTAGAGTTTAAATGTATGGAATGTTGGAAATTAATTACCAGATGGTGAGTTTTCCTTTTATGACATTTAATTCCACCCGATTGGTCACCAGGCAACACACTGTAAGTCTTAAAGGGCCAGTGTTATGTGTTTTCTAGGCACATAGTGCTGTTTTATAGCACAATCAAGTAACTATGTTACCTTCAGCTGTTAGAAAAGTGCTGTGTATATCAAGACTTAACTCTTTCTTAAACTCCGCCTTCAGGAAGTCACCACAACATGGCTCCTCTATTAACCCTTTAACAATGTTTTTACCAGCATTTCCAGGTTGTATAATGAGGTCAGCAGATGAGCAATTCCACCAATTGCTGCTGGCTAGTCTGAAGGAGCTGAGTGGCTGATTGGACCTAGCCTGACTGGGGCTAGGTCCAATCAGGCGTTTTACACAGCTGAGTGGTTGTCATGGAGTTTAAAGGATTTCTCAAACATATATGAAAAATGTTTGAGAATCATTTCTGATGAGGGAAAAACATAATAACATGATGTTACATCATGTAAAGCTCAAAAAAGTCAATTTAGCATACTACTGCCCCTTTAAGTAGAGAGCAAGCGGACTTGTTTTCCAAAGAGTTGATTCATTGGTTATAATCACATTTCTATGAAAGAAAAGAAACAAAGTTACTGTAAATTCTGACTATATCATCTCTCCTTTTACTACATTTCAAGTGATCTGGAGCGTGTACAGGTAGATGTGGGACACTGACGCAACATGAAATTTAAAAAATTAAAACTTTTGTTGCTGTCTGCTGTCACTGAAAACTTTCACTTTTAGGTCTTTTTGTCACTCCCTGTGTGTCGGGCCTATTGTGTGCATTATGTAACATTAACATGATAATATTTTCACGTTAGTCGCATGTCCTTAGTTAGAGGTCCAATACTTTTCCATAGTTTTGTTTGGTGTGTTTTATATGGGATTTCCAGTTACGATTATGATCCAAAACAACCCTTAAAAACTGAACGTCACATACTTAATTATCAACTATATTTATTGTTGATTAATTTGCCTTGACCTCCAGTTGACCCAGACCTCAGTCCAGGAAAGTATCTGTGCTGGACAAAAACGTTGGACACATGGAGTCTTGGCAACTCAAAGGTAAAGTAAAAGGAGAACCAGCACAGTATTAGACAAGTGGTCATACTGGAATGACTGACAAATACGTGTGTGTGTGTGTGTGTGTGTGTGTGTACTGTATGGCGATGTGGTGATCACATATTTTTCTCCCATTAAAGCTGTGATGGATATTACGCCGGCTCTAAGTACAGCTGAGTGCATGTGGGTTCCACTGGTGGTGGAGAGCAGAGATAAGGATTTCGCGTGGGCCTAATTAAAACACGCCGCACAATTTCTGTCCAAATTGAACTGACTTAATCCACTGCAAGGCTGGTAGCTTGCAAACACTGCCAGGGATGTAAAAATACACACAACTACAGCCTTTAAAATTAGAGTTCTGCTGCTAAAAGCATTTCCTCTTCACACAAGCAGGAGTTCCTGTTGGGAATGTGTTTGTGAGTGTCGGCTGTTCAGCGTTCCGCCGGTTTCTGTACCTGGTCCTCCTCGCCGCCTCCCTCCTCGTCGTAGTTGAGCACGTTTTCCCGGATGTCCTCCCAGCCGTCGTGGTGCGCCGACACATGGTACACGCCCTCCTTCAGACCTTTGTAGCTCCGCCAGCGGGTGTAGAGGAAAATGCCCAGCAGCAGCACTGCAGTTGAGACAAGACAGCAGCGACAGCTCAGCACTGCAAATTCAAATTAAACAATTAAAAAAAAATTCTTCTGTCCATTAAGGGTGTACCCCCAAAAGAGAGCGGCACTTTGATGGAACTGACCTTGAGCATCATTTGGTGATAATGAGACCTAAAACTTTGCAGGTTTGGGGATTTAGCTGAAGATGTTTTAGAAATCAACACCAGGAATTTATTTTGTTGCTCATATTTTATAAAGTATTTCCAGGCTGTCAGGCAGTGGAAATTTTTCTGTTCATTACAAACAGTTGTTCACACTTTCCACAGGAGAGATGTAAAAACACAACTAGCGGTGGTGAGTTTGGCATGAGGAGCTCTCGTTTGGAGGAACATTTGCAGCTACTTTTGTTGTTCTTCAGTTTTACGTGTATCTTCACCTCCTCAGGAGGGAAACACCATCTTCTAGGAGCTAGAGACTTCTCAGTGTTCAACAATCTTTGCTTTTTAATTATCAAATCCTTTTTTACGCTCCAGGCTGGACAGAGGTGAGGGATGGAAATCAGAATAAGCCGCATGGCCCAAAGGTCATAAAAGCAACACATAAACACAATCAATGTCTTTAGGATTCTGAACTGCTCTCACAGAAAGAGATGGCAAAACTTTATTTAATTCATCTGCAGCTTAGAGATTTTGCTACTGTAATGACATGTCTTACATGATAATATGCCATAGATTTTCCACAAGGTTAAAGGTCAGGGGAGTTTACTGGCCAGTCAGAGACAGGAGCACCATGGCTACTGAACCAAATCCTGCTGGAATATAAAACCAACATCTCCAACCAGCTGGACAGCCTGACCTATCTGGGTCATAATCATCAAAAATAACAATAAACAAAGGTTTGGAATATATCACTCTGTGAATGATGATCATAAATGATGTATGAGTTTCACTTTCTCAGATGACTGGCCAAAGAAATGTTGCACTTGTTCCCAATATTCTAATTTTCTGTAGATTACTAAAGTATGTGACTGACGGTTTTTGCAGCTGTAGAAAAAGTTCCAGATTAGAGGAACAGCAGAAGACAGAGACAATCCTAATCTGTGTGTGGGATTAGAACCGGCCTGACAATGGGAAGAGCAGGTCACTGGTGTTCTGACAGGACTGGTCAGAAAAAAAAAAAAAAAAAAAAAATTGTAAAAGTAGATCAGTGACATTGGAATTTTTTTTTCATTTCCTGACATAAATATCGTACGGCCTCCACACAAATCCACAGTTCAACCAATCTGCATGTTTTTCTCACAATGACCTTTTAAAATGTCCAACAAATCTTGTTTAGCTTCAAACCTCTCACCTCTTGTCTTCCTATTTACCTCAAAACTCACCAGCCTTTCTGTATTATTAACCTCCTCTATACACACCACACACACACGCACACACACACATAACCAGTTCTTCTTAATTCAGGTGTTTTCCTCACTATACCGCAGCAGAGTTTTGTATGCAACGTTGAGTTAATATTTAATAATTTACCCTGGAATGTCATCAAGTAACTGAGTCATGCTCCACTGTATCTTCAAATCTGCTTTTGCGACAAACAAAAAAAACTCTCCATAGGAGAGAAGCAATTAATCACATTAGAGAGAAGCACCAATCCCAGACCGCAACTGATTTCAACTGGCAGCATTATAAACATCCCGGCTGCTCAAATCCCATTAATCTCAGATATCACCATGGAAATCTGTGATCTTAAACAACTCCAACACAGATTTTAAACACGCTCTCATCCGCTTTCCCCCTCTCTTTCAACTGTTTTTCCTCTGTGCCTCCCACGTCACACCTGAAGCCCAGCAGCACCAAGGCGAAGGTACTCAGACTCACCGGCGGATTGATAACATCCCATTAAACAGGCCTTCCCCCTGACAACTGTGTAAGAGAGAATTCGCTCAGCCAGAAACCAGCTGCACTGCATGGGAGCAGAGATCAATACTCATTTACTGTCAGCTTGTCGCCTGCACCACAACTTCAGCGTCTGGCAGATTTATAAGAGCAAATTGTTTCATGAAGTTCGCTGTTCATTTTTAGAGCCTATGTGACTTTTAATGGCCAGCGAACCAAGGGAGGGAGACGGGATAAAGACAGGAAGACAGACTGCTGTTTTCAGTGGTATGCTTTTGGGTCGCCATGACGCCAAAGAGGCAGTGAAAGTGCAACAACAACTGCACAGGTTCACAGAGTTTCCTTAACACACAGACATGAACTGAAACTGAGCTGGAAAAGAGCTAGCATGAACCTTCTGAGACAGAATGAGACTCAGTGAATACAAATGTTTACTTTGACTCCACATCATCAATTCTGACCTATAACTACTTCTCTTCCTAGTCAGCAAAAAAACTATTGTGGAAATATGTTTTACTTATGAAATCCTGTGTGACTAGTGGCACCGCTAACATTGTTGTTTTCTTTACCTAAACCAGTTTGATGTAAAACAGCCATGGGTACAAAACCACAGCCGCCCACTTAAAATGAATATACCTACAACCCCCTCTCATAACATTTATAACTGCCTATTTTATTAGCTCACATACCAAATATTCTCTAATATACAAAACAAGTTGGGAACCGTCTTAGCTCTACCACAGAAGCTAACTCCTACAGTCTTCCTTATTTCCTTTCTTGAGCCAATGAGCAATAAGGAAAATGAATAGTGTTTATGGATTGGCTGCTTTGGAAACTCTAACCAACAGAATTACTAAGTAGCTTTATGTCCTGGTATTTCAGCTTCCCAAGCTGAACCTCTGTTATAATATTCTACATACACTCAAAGGGAAAAAAAACAAACAAAACAAATTTCCATGAATAATTTTTATTCACGTTCACATAAAAATCCAAGCATGCTTATTTTCTTATTTTAAAAATGAACTGAATTATTTGTTTATTTGCATCTTTTAATGTGTTTTTAACATTGCATAAATAAAGTTTAAATGAAAAATCTGCAGAATGTACCAATGTTTTTATCCGATTTATTGATTAATCATCAAAATAATGACTCAAATAATCATTAGTTGCATTCCTACTCCAAACATGTAAAATGTGCTTATACTTAGTTCAGGTAAAAGGAGCCTAACATAAACTTATAAAAGACTCTCTTAACAAAGCATGAGGATCAATATTTTTTTATTAGATCTAAATCTAAACAGCAACTTTCCACACAGAGGTTATTCCCTTAATCTCTGACATGGGCTCTGCTGTAGGCCTGTGTTCTATGAACAAGTTCCAGATTTCCTTTGTGAACATGATGAGGGTGGATTTGTGTTCATAATTCACATTTGAGAAGAAATAAAATCGTCCGTTGATGACAGAGATGAAGGAGACAAGCAGTGAGCGATGCAGCTACATCTGTATTCTACTGAACAAACTGAGTCTACAACAAGAAGCTACAAGGGATTCATGTCACATAATTAATTGAAGTTTATGCGCTAATTAAACTCATTAATGAATCCAGTCTAAAGCGGCAACTTGCCTCAGACATGAGTAATATCAATTATTAATGAGGGCGGGCATGGGCTGGAAAAACTCTGCAGTCGCTTTCGAACACAATCCAGAACGGCACAGGATTTGTCTTGTTTGAGTTGCCATAGCAACGCCTGAAAACTATCAAGTATTGATTATTTACTTTAGGTCATCTTCCTTCTTTTCTGTCCGCTAATATTCACATGCTAACTGACATGTTAGAATGCTTGTCCAGAAGTTGTACAAAAAATTTGACACGGGTCATTAACACTAATAAATGTTAGTGAGTAGACTTTAAGTTTCTGTGAGCTTCAGTTCTCAAAAATTAAAAAATACTTTATTTATTCCAATGGAAGAAAAAAAGTATCTTCAATCAGTCATTGTGGCTGGTGTGTCATGGTTGTCATAAAAACGTGACGCCTACGTATCCGGCCAGCAGAGACGATATTCCACTGCATGACATCATCAGTTGACAGGAAGCACTGCTAATCCACCTCCTTTGCTTTTGCCACTCCTCTTTAAATCTGTATCTGGTCATTTGGAGACGTTGGAGATGAGGATCTGATCCTCACCAACGTTATGACAGAGGGAAGAGACGGTTTGAACTTCCTGTTCAACTCCTCTGGGGTTTGGAGTTAGTTAGTTCAGGTTTTATTTAAGCTTTTGGGGATGCAAATCATCTGTCCCCGGTTGTAAAATGACGTTGTTGTCATAGTATCATGGCTGTCCAAAGAATTTAGAAAAAAAAAAAAAAAAAAAAAGCAATCCCTCAACCAAAACAATGATGAACAGAAGTCTACAAAACACAAACAAATCAGAACTAATGTGACAGAATGAGCTTGGAATTTAACAAGGTTGTATGTTAGACTCCAGTGGAATAAATGCCTTCTACAAATTTGGAGACTTTTAAGACAAATGTAATGCAGCTGATGCAGCTTATAGCAGCACTGCTTCCCTCAGGAACAGGATCTGTTTACATGCAGTGACGCTCCCTTTGGCAAAACTTGCAGCTAAAAATCCCTACATGATGATCTGTTATTGATATCACAACCTGCCATTTCCATCAGTGCAACATTTCTACTGTTTTTTATCGTTTTATTTATATTTATTTATATGAATTATTTTGATTCTGATAATATGCCCAACTTCAAAACTTAGCTTTTTTTTTTTTTTTTTTTTTTTAATAAACAAATATTGGTTTTTGCTTCTTCTTCGTCTTTGAAACAAACAAGCATGGGATGGTAGATTGACTCTGTTAAATACTCCCGTTTGGCGCAGCACAAAAAGTCAACATGACATGTGAAGGGGAACGCAGGAAGAACAGAAAGAAATCTGATCTAGAGCCGCTGTGAAGATGACTGCTCTGCTCTGCTGGAATCAATACCCTCTGCATTAGAGCTCAGGCCCACATGAAGGGGAAAAACACACACTACAATAACTCACGAAGCAAATAAACAACAGCGAATATGAACTGTGTTCCTCTTTGGTTTATGGCAGCAGAGACTGTG